TGGAGGTGGCCAGGGACTCACCCTCAGCAGTGTGGGGCCCAGGACCCTGAGCCGTGCGGGCCAGTGGGGGGGAGGTTCCTGTGGCAAGTTGGGGCGAAAGATCCGGCAATTCCTCACGCTAGCTTTGGGTGCCCCAAGGGGTTCTCAAATACTGGGTCAAACTGGGCTGGCCAGAGCCAAGCAGCCAAACAGCTCAGGGCTCCTTCGCTCCAGCTAACAGATGGGCCCGTCTGTCCGGGGGGGCCCAGCCTTCCTGGGGGGGTTGGATGGGGACTGGCCTCCGGAGGCCCCAGACGCCCACTGGGGAGTGTTTCGCATGTAGGAACTGGGATGTCCTGTCGCCCCATTGCAATAACTGTGCCTGGCGCCGGCTCAAAAACTGCCCGGTGATGACGGACGCTGGCCCATGGGTGACGCTGGGCCCCAGCCTCTAAGCAAAATTCTTGTGCGGCCGTGGCCTGCTCTGCCCGCCTGGCTCGCTGGGAGGGGTAGCGCAGCCAGGAAAAGCCCCACTGGAGGGAGCGAGATGTGGGGCTCCACCCAGAGCGGGACCCCAGGAGCCGGGGAGGGGGGTGCTGAGTGGCCCCTGACAGGGGAATAGACGCAGTCGCCCTGAGCTGAGACAGGAGGATAAATGGAGGGTGGCCGGGTGGGTGCAGGAATGTGGGTGCGGTGTGGGGGTGGAGGGCTGGCCACGTGGGTGGGGGGTGGCCCTGGGGACAGCTGGCTGGATGGAGGCTGTGGGGGGATGAGGTTGGAGGGTGGGGGCGGGAGAAGGGGGTGAGTGGATGGATGGATGGACTGACGGATGGATGGACAGACGGATGGATAGATGCGTGGAAGAAGATGGATGGATGGGAGAGACGGGGTGGATGATTGGAGAAGAAGGATGAATGTTTGGGAGTGAAGGGGTAGACAGACAGAGATATGGACGGATGGATGGATGGATCGGGGAGATGGATGGATGGATGATGCAGGGGAAGGGTGGATGGATGGATGGATGGATGGATGAATGAATGCGGGGGAAGGGTGGATGGATGGATGGATGGATGGATGAATGAATGC